TCAATGCTGCGAGTTGCCTCTCGAAATTGCTCTGCCGTCATTAACACCACGGATTAGGTCAGATGAGCGGGTGTTTGCAGTCTTAGATGGCAAAGGCAAAGCGCTGATGCTGACTATTCCAGATCTTCTGGGCACGGCCCGTTCCATGCTCACAGTTCTTAATCAGAGGGACGCGCGTTGGTTACGTGGCTGGTGGGCTGGGGCCGTGGTGGGTTCTGACGTGGCTGCCGGGCCCAGACAACACGTCCGCAGCACCTGCAGGCCTGTGGGCTGGCTTCCCTGAACATCACAGTGACCTCAGTAGAAGAAATGGCCCTTCGAATGGCGTGGCTGCTGGTTGCTTTTGAACCAACGGCAATTCATTTGAGCGAGGACTGTGGGCATTTTGCCCTGGGCCTGATCAGCAAGCTTTGTGTTCTGAGGCTCGCTCTGTTGGCCGTGTACCTGGGGGGTGTCTTCCAGACCACCCCTCCTTCAGTGTTCCCTTCTGAAAAGGGAGGAGAGGCACCTGGGTGGCTCAGTCGGTTAAGCGTCCGACTTTGGCTCAGGTCATGATCTCACAGTTCGTGGGTTCGAGCCCCCTGTCGGGCTCTGTGCTGACAGCAAGCTCAGAGCCTGGAGCCTGCTTCAGATCTGTGTCTGGCCTCTCTCTCTGACACTCCCCTGCTCATGCTGTCTGTCTCTCTCTCAGAAATAAATAAAACATTAAAAAAATTTTTTTAAAAAAAAATAAAAAAGGGGTGCCTGGGTGGCTCAGTCGGTTAAGTGTCTGACTTCAGCTCAGGTCATGATCTTGCGGTTTGTGGGTTCGAGCCCCGCATCGGGCTCTGTGCTGACAGCTCAGAGCCTGGAGCCTGTTTTGGATTCTGTGTCTCCCTCTCTCTCTGCCCTACCCTTCTTGCTCTCTGTCTGTCTCGAAAATAAACATTAAAAAAAAAATTGAAAAGGGAAGAGAAGGAGGCCAAGACCTGTGGCCTCACATCAGGGCCCCTCACCGCCTGGCCTCATGTTCCATGCCCCCCCTCCCGCCACTTTCCCCCTGGGCTCCAGCCATACTGTGGCCTCCCTCTGGCCCTTGATCATGCTGGTTCCCTGCCAAGAGTGCCTGCTCAGCCTTGTCCTCGAGGCAGAAGCTCATCATCTGTAGCAGCTGCTGTCCCTGTGCTGCCCTGACCAGTGTGCCCCAGCCCCACATGGAGCTGCCAGCGGCCGCACTTCTTTGCCTGAAGCTTCCTCTGGCCTCTGGAACCTGCATTGGCCACTCCGTGCTGCTGGTCAGGCCGGAAGTGCCAGGGAATTCCCCTTCCCCCCCGACCAAACAGGAGCCCTCGGCCACCAAGCCAATGCCTGACAACAGGTGGTGTATACACAACCCTGCTCCCTCACCCCTCTGGCGGGCGAAGGCTGGGGCGTGTTCTGCCAGAGTCCTCAGTGGGAATGAGCCCTAGCTGCCCGCATAACCGGCTTGAAAAACCATCCACCCAGTATTGCCTGCTTACCTGTCTTCCTTACGTACTCCCCACGCGGTGTTCTCCTTCATTCTCCCAAAGAGATGGCTCACATTCAGATCTTTCTCTCAGGAGAGAAGCTTCTCTCTAGGGGAAACAAACAGACATCATCTTCCGTGCCTTTCTCAAGATCACCTTCTGTTTGCAGCTTCCCCTGACCCTCCCTTGTTTCTACTCCTGAGGCAATACCGTTGGCCACTCTTTTCTTTGTTTTTAAAATGTTTATTTATTTTTGAGAGAGAGAGAGAGCGTACACAAACAGGTGGGGCAGAGAGAGAGGGAGACACAGAATCTGAAGCAGGCTCCAGGCTCTGAGCTGTCAGCACAGAGCCCAATGTGCGGCTCGAACTCACGAGTGAGATCATGACCTGAGCTGAAACGGGACGCTCAACCAACTACTCAACTGACTGGAGCCACCCGGGGCCTCCTGGCTACTCTTCTCTTCCCAGGGCCTTTATAGCTACCTCAACAGCACTTCGCATGCCGCATGCCGCACTGTGGTTTGTCTGTACCATCTGTCTGCAAGTCCTGGGGCCCCTGTTAACCTGGGGGTTCTTTGGAGACAAAGTCTTTTGTTTGTTTGTTTGTTTGTTTTTGAGAGAGAGAGCGCACAGGGGAGAGGCAGAGAGAGTGAGAATCCCAAGCCAACTCTCAGCACAGAGCCCCGTGCAGGGCTTAATCCCATGAACTGTGAGATCATGACCTGAGCCCAAACCAAGAGTCCAATGCTCAGTAGATGGAGCCACGCGGGCGCACCCAGGGGGACAAATTCGCTAAGCCTCGGACAGCGCCTGGCACGGAACCAGTACCCAATACAACTTTTTTTGCCAAAGACCCAGCAGTGGAAATGCAATGACTAAGAGGGAATGGAGAGAAACAGACAAGTCCAGAATCCTTCTAGAAAGAGGTCCTGGGGCTACTCTCCTAGATGCTGTCACTTTACAAGGTAACATTGTAGAACCTTCAGTCTTACTACTTACCTGGTGAACAACCTGCAATGGCTCCCTTTTGTTGTCCTCCCCAACAGGGCCTAATGTCACAGATGCTTTTTGAGACCATCATCTGGCCCTATTCTAAGAGGCAATCAAACTTTGGTCCCAATGATCAGAGTTCAAATTCCCGCTCTGCCAGTTCCCCCCGCCGGGTGTTCATGGACAAGTTACTTAGCCTCTCTGGCCACTAGCTCCCTTATTTATTAAATGCAGACAGTAATGCCACACCTCTATAATTACTTTGAGAATTTAAAATCATATATGGTCCTTGTGAGATACCCAAACCACTGAACTGTACACTTTAAAATGGTGAGTTTTATGGGACGGGAATAATAGCTTTTAAAAAAATTAACCGTGGTGTCTAACCCAGGGTAGGCTCTTTGAAAATAGAATGGTGGTTATCAAGAAGTTTCCCAAATGGCCCTAGAAGTGGGCTGGGCACACAGTAGGTGCTCAGTAAATACTGGTGGAAGGAGTGGACAACATATTCCACAAGTACGTTTGGAATAGAGGTATGTGGGGGATGGGAGGGTGGGGGAGGCATAGAAATTTCAAACCCAGTATTGCATCCCTCAGGAAAGGAGGCTGGAATTATTCTCTGGGGAGACAGGGCCTAAGTCCCAATCTGGGAGCGGGGCCTTCAGACCCCGGTGTGCCCCACTGCCATGGGATCCCAGTGCCTCTGCCCCTTGGTGTCAGTCCCAGGTAGCAGGAGTCCAGCCAAACCTGGACCTGTGCGAAAACGAAAACACTTAACCCAGACCAAGGAACGTGTTCTTGCAGTCATCTTTGACTTTGGCTGTATGTATCTGATGTTCTGGGAATTGGCTTCAAACAGAAAATCTGGACTTGCCAGTTAAGGCCCAGCTTGATAAAGGCGTGGCCCAGAGGGTGTGACTTTTCTGGGTCCAGCCTGAGGCCCTCGGCCTCCCCCAGCCCTTCCCACCTCGTGGCATCCGGTGGTGGGGCCAAGACAAGTAGGCTCCAGCTCCGCAAAGCTCGGACTGAGGCTGGGGACGGGCTGCAGGGAGATTTCCTGGCGTCTGAGTCTGGCAGTCCATGCGGGCAGCCCTAGAGAAACAACACCGCCCACAGCTCCAGCTCCGGAGACCCCTGGTCTGGAAGGGCCAGCCTGAGGCAGGGTGGGGCCTGCCCAGCTCTGAGGCCGCGAAGGGATTGGTTCGGGAGGGGTGCCACCTGAGAGGTGCCTCCACTAACCCCATCTCCCAGGACAGGGATCAGAGCCCTGCACACAGCAGGCGCCCACTCAGCGCTGGTAGGATGGGAGCCCAGGGAGCCCCGGCCACCCTCTCAGTCTGATGGAGGAAGCTTCTAGACCCCAGGGGCTGGCTCAGCTACGCGGTCACGACGGGCCGGGGATGGGGAGGGCGCTGGCGTGTGGCTTCTGTGGCTGACTCGGTGTGGCCAGGCCCGGCGGGAGCCAGAACAGGGGGCGGGAGCGCCCAAGCACCGACCCTGCCTAGTCCTAACGACCCTCCTCAGAAAACCCAGGAGGGCCCTCCGGGCACTGGGGTCGCCCCCACACACCTCCGCGAGAGACGTGATTCTGTTTATAGACTGACTCCCGGCTCCCGGTGGGGCGCACCCTCAGCAGAGAGCGCCCCCAGTCTTTTGCGGGAGGAGGTCTCTTTTGCGCACGTCACTCCCACCCAGCCCCGGCATAGACCCTCCTCAAACAGACGCCCGGCGGTTCCCGAACCCTCTCGCTCTTCCAGCAGGAAACCCCGGAGCCGGGAGGGGGTGGGCGCGGAGGGAGACGCGCGGGCCCCAACCATCCCTGGCCGTCACCGCCCCCCGCCCCAGGCTGCCGGCATCAGGAGCCGCGTCCCCACGTCCGCCCCGCGCGCACACACGCGCACACACAGACTCACGCTCGCACGGACACACTCACACCCGCGCGCAGACCCCGCCCGCGGCCCCGCCCCGGCCCCTGCGGGCGCCCCCTCCGGCGCTCGCGGACCCCGCACGCAGCCCGCCCCGGCCGGCGGGAGGCGGCGGCTCCGGGCAGATTTGATTTTCCCGCAGCCCGGGCGCCCCGGAGCCCCAGCCGGAGCCGAGGCGGAGGCGCTCGCAGCCGGGTCCCCGGCCCCGCTGCCGCCCGCGCCGAGACCCAGCGAGAGGCGGCGCAGCCCGGGCGCGCCCCGCGTCCCGGCGCCCCCGCCGCCCGCGCCCGATCCGCCCCCCCCACGCCCCCTCTCCCTCGCCTTCACCCCTTCTGTCCCCACCCGAAGCCGCACGCTCCTCTCCCCAAACCCCTCTCCACGACTCCGCGCGTCCCTCCCGGTGCCCTCTCCCCGCGCCCCTCCGCCTCTCTCCGCTGCACCCCAGCTCGCGGGGCACCGTGCCCCTCTCTGCTGGCACCCCCGGCCTCCTCGTCGCGTCACCTGCACCCCCTCCTCTGTCCCCGGCCCCCGCTCCCTCCGCCCCCCTTCCCTCTCTCACTTCCCACGCCCCCTCTTGGCGCTCCTCTCTCCTCCCTTTGCCGCCCAGCGCCGGCTCCGGAGTTGGGGGAGAGCCCAGGGTTTCAGCCGCTTTGGAGGAGGCGTGAATCGCGCAGGGATTGACTAATTTGGGGTGGGGGCCGCGGTGGGCGATGGAGCAGCCTGAGGACATGGCGTCGCTGAGCGAGTTCGACTCCTTGGCGGGCAGCATCCCGGCCACCAAGGTGGAGATCACCGTGTCCTGCAGGTGAGCCGCCCCGCTGGCCGGGTCCCCCCTGCCCCGCCCCTGGAGCCGGAGCCCCGCGACTCCTGGGCTCCTGCAGCACCGACCCCTCCACCCTCGCGCGCCCCCTTTCAGAGCGGCGCTGCCTCCAGGATGCCCCCTTGTCTGTCCAGCAGGAGCCCTGCCCGGCCAAGGATGATGACCGCGGAATGGGGGGAAAGCCAGGCTTGGGATCCCATCTCGGAAAGTTTGCACTCCAGGCCGTTGGCGAGAGGAGACGTGCAGACACAGGAACAGGGGACCGGGCGCCTCAAGGAGGAGAGGGAGGTGATGAAGGGCTGTCCCTGGGTCTTAGCACAGGCTATTTCTGATCAACTCTTTCCGGAATGATGAAGGGAGTGATTTTGCCCCATCCTTCCCAGGCATACCAGCCCCTTTCTTCTGGGCCCTTCTTTCCTCTCTTCTCCCTCTGCCCCAACACCGTCCTCTCCACCTCCAACCCGCCTCCCCCCAACCCTAGACCCCAGGAATTAAAGCTTTTCTTCAGCTCCAACAACGAACTGATGGAAAAAGATCAATCAGATCGATTCATTCATACCGAGCTATGGATAACTGATAACTTAAAGTGGCACCATTAAGATAAACAATAACTTAGGCACGCAAAATCTTAAGCCAAAGGACTAGAAAGAACAGTGAATGTGGAATTTTAGAGTCCAGCAGGGGAGAGGAGGTGTGTTTTTGTGGGCTACCACCCCAAACCCTCGTCATGTCACACAGACTTTGGGGGTAACTTCATCTGAGAGCTGGGTCTCTCCCAGTTTTTCCTGAGAAGGCTGCCCCAGGCAGTATGGGGGACCAGTGGAGAAGTGGGGTTCTTCTCTAATGCGGTCATCCTGTGGGTGGCCTCGGGTCACTGCCTGGCTGGGCTGTGAGGGGTACTATGGCCCCGGGCATAGCCCACCCACCTTGACATTCTCCTGGAGACGCTGTTCCTGCTACCCTAGATGACCAACAGCATTTCCGGGGTCCTGGCTGTGCCCTTGTTACAACTCACCCTCTCCGTTTTCATCCAGGCCCCTCTCTGGTCAGACCCTTCGCTCACCCCCGTGGCCTCTCAACCCTCTTTTCCATGGTTGTGGCACGGGGAGCGGGGAGGGGTGCCAGAGCCAGAGAAGGGGAGGGACTGGGATTTGAGGGTGTGTGGGAGTGAGGACTCGTGAGGTGGAACATAGCTTCTCCCCCATGCCAGGCCCTTCCTGGTCTCCTGTGATAACTCTCACCTGTCGCCCCCCATGGTCCCGCACATCACTGTCAGAATTCTCTCCTGACGCCATTTGCATCTTGCCATTGCTCTGCTGGGAGATTCCTGGCGGCCCATTAGCTCCAGTCTCACCTCCTCAGCCATCAGTAGTTGCCACAGGCTGCCTTTCCTTCCCTGTGGAGCCCACATCCCTGCGCCTTTTGCTCCCTCCCAGCTTGTCAGGCTTGTGTCAGAGCTGTCTCTGGATCCTTGTCACCGCCGAGCTCTCAACAGCCTATTCACCATCCTGAATTCACCCCTCTTTCATCTCTGCCAGTTCAGGTCCCCCCCCCCATCCTGGAGAGCTTGATCTCAGGCTCCCCACTTCCAGCCCTCACCCATGAGACACCCAGTCCCAATCTGAGTCTTCTGTGTCCCCTAGGTCTTGAGTACTCAGCCTAGCCCAGGGGGTCACTCGACCTCTGAAGACGCTGTACACTCTGTCCCTGCTTCCCTAAAGCAACTGTCTAAGCATTCGAGGACGGGGATCCCCACCCTGGCTCAGACCTATGAACCCCCTACACTCGGTGAAGAGGAGAGGAGGCAGAGGGCGCATGGCACTGTGGTTTTGGAGTCAGACACTTTGAAACGGACTCCGCTCCACCCTTTGGGGCATGCTTTTTGCCTCCATCACCCCCACATGTCAGGGACAAATAATGAAACCTGTATTTGAGCCATCTTATTTGCCGAGGTAGTGCCCATGCTTAGAAGAGTGGTTGGCATATAGCAGAGACTTAACAAACACCCGTTGGAAGAATTATGGGAGTAGAGGGTCGCGAGGCACCCAGCACACTACTTTGCACTTGTTTGGCACGCAGTCGGTGCTCGGTCAGCAGGTACGAGGATACTCGGCCCCTCCTGTTTGCTCTCAAAAAGCGGAGGGGCCCAAAGGACTCAAAGCTTTTGCCTAAAAGATACCTGGGGGTGCGTCTGAGTTCCTGGGAGATGTAATTTGGGATTGGCCCTGACGTCTCAAGGGACACGATCCATTAGCCTGACTTGGGCCCTGCTCCTGGTGAAAGCCAGAGGATGGGACATTGTTTGGGTAAGAAGAATAAGGAGGGAGGAGTCACCTGGAACAGAGGCGAGGCAAAAAAACAAAAACAAACAAACAAACAAAAAACCCAGTCTGGGTGGGCTTGAAATTGTAAATCCATCTCTTTGCCTCAAGCAGGTCTAACTGTCTAGGTTCTAAAAGAGAGAGAGAGAGAAGGGAAGAGGGGAGGTGGGAGAAGAGGAGCAGAAGGAGGAAGGAGAGCTGCACAGAATGGCTTTCTCCAGCACATTCTGTACTCCATGCTCATAAGTCTTCCTCCCCAGTATCGCATGGTCGGCACTGGCTGGGTCCCAGGAGAAGATGTCCTGGACAGAGCATCTAGGTGACACCTCCCACTGGGCAGGGCCTGTAAGGCAGGCAGAGGGGTTGGGGGTCGTGAGAACTTCAGGATGGGTGGCTCAGGTTGAGGGGCCCAGTATTTCAGGGAACTGGGAACTAGCATCCCTGGGAGCCAGCTCCCTTCCAGCTCCGCCCTGCTCCTTAGGAAGGTCCTGGCCAACCCCTACAGCCCCAGGAAGTCTCCGCTCTTGCCTGGCAAAGACCTGACCCCTTGCCATGCCTGTGCTAGGGCACTGCTGGCTGAGCAAAGCCGCATGGTACAGGGGCACATCTGAGCCCACACAGGGCCACCATGGAAGCCTCACCAAGCCTCACTGAAGGTATGTGATGCTGGGGGATGGCATATCTGGGTCTCTGCTTTGGGTAGTGTATCCCTTGGGCTGATTTATGGTCCTCTCCCAAACAGGTGTTTTTACCGACTTCAGTAAACTCAGGGTCAAACACTGGAAAGCTCTGGTTGTTTGGCTCAATGGTAAGGAACATGAGCTGTGGGATCTGTCCTCCCGGGTTCAAATACCAGCTGTGTCCTTGTGACATTGCATAAAAGACTTAACCCGTACGTCAGTTTCCTCATCTGTAAAAGGTGTGCGCTAATTCTTCTCACGGTCGTGAGGATGCAGTGGATTAGTCCAGGAATAGTAATTGATTTGCCTAGTATTTGACATCAAAAAGTAAAGAAACATTTGTCTTTCTAGTTGGATCCCAGGATTTGTGTGGGTCCTGGCGATCTGATCCCATCTAGAGATTTTTATCCACCCCTCCCCGCCTCAGCTTTATTGAGATATATTTGACATATTACGTACGTTTAGAGATCCTGAGGGGGGTAAGTAGGGTAGATGGTTTGTGGGACCAGATACCAGTAGACGTAGAAAACGCGAGCCGTGACCTTCTTCCTCTGATGGTCTGTTCCGATCTTTCCCGACCGTTAGCTTTCCTGCAGACGCAGTCGGAACTCAGCTATCTAGTGTCCCATCCTTCAGAGTCCACAGAGATCCGGACCAGTGTGGTAGAAAGAGCAATTTGCCTTTTTTATGTAACAGGAAGCCTTTGCACCTCCACAGGGTCCTTCCTGCCGGCAGAAGGAATGCACAGTTTCACACAGTGGGGCTCTTGACACCCATAGGGAAGACAAGGAGGGGAGAGTCCAGAAGGCAAACGGTCTGCTTAGCCATTCTGGAATCTCTCAAGCAGCTGCAGGCGGGGCTGGTGGGCAGTTATTGTCTCTGCCCCCAAGATGTTCTGTGCTGTCTGTTCAGGTTGGCGTTTTGCTGCCCTGAGGCCTGAGAGGCAGCTGAGTTTGAGCTCGGGAGCTGTGACCCAGACCTCAGAAGGGGTGTGAATGGGCTGTCAATGCTTTCTTCAGACAGGCGTGTGGAGGGCAGCTTTGGGGGAGGAGGAGCCTGGGGGCATCGTGGCCACTGTCAAGGCCAGTGCTAGGACGCAGAATACTCCCAGGCCCTCGGTAGTGGAGCCAGGGGAATGAGTGGGATTTACTGAGTGCTTACTACGTGCTAGGCACTTACAGCTGTATTAGGCTGGACCATATGCAGGGGCCTATATTCAACCATTTCTGATCTACTCAGGTAGCTGTTTGGTTCAAACTAAGATTACGATGTTAATTTTCAATTGCTGCATAAGGAATTACCGCAAACCTAGCAGCTTACAGCGACAGCCGTTTATCCTCTGGCAGTTTCCGTAGGTCAGAAGCTTAGGCACAGCACACCGGCCCCTCTGCCCAGTGTCTCAGCACGCTGAAATCAAGGTGTCTGCGGAGGCTGTGATCTCGTCTGAGGCTCAGGGGCCAGGCCAAGCTCATTTAGATGGTTGGCAGAACCCAGCTCCTCGCAGCTGTGAGATTGAAGTCCTGTTTTCCCGCGGGCTGATGGATCAGGATGGTTCTCAGTTCCTGGAGGCCGCCCTCAGGTCCTAGCTGTGTGGGCCTCTCACAACATGGCCAGTCCCTTCTTGAGACTCAGCAGGAAGGCATCTCCCCCGTCAGCCATGACACTCTTACATAAAGTAACAGTGATCACAGGAGTGAGTATCCATCACATTCCCAGGTCCCACCCACACTCAAGGGGAGGGGATTATGCAGGCTTGTTCACCAGGGGGCCCAACTCTTGGGGACCATCTTAGATTTCTGCCATCACAGTTGCTGCATCTTTTTTAACCTTGCAACAATCCTGTAAGGTACATAGAAGTATTTCCCCTTTTTGCTGCTTAGGAAATCAGAGCTCACAGAGGTTAAGGGACCTGCCCAAAAGGCTCCAGTTAGCACATTTTGGAGAAGGAGATCCAAATCCAGTTTCCTCAGACTTCAGAGCCTTC